GAAGGGGGGGGGGGCGGTCCATAAATCGTATTCTCGAAAACTATCCGATTCCTTCCTTAACTCAACTCTTCCTAACATTGTACACCCTTTTGACTGTCATTACCGTTTATGATTCCTCTTTGTAGGGACGTTGAATTAATTAACGATACTTGTGACAATTAAATTAAACAACCACCCGATCAGCCCCATAAGACAATAATTTGAAAACAAAAAATTGTAAACGATAACTTTTTCAGGAAATTAAAAATATTATTTGAACACAGGTTGCCTCGACCAATTTTGCCAAAAAAAACATCCAGGGCGTAGCGAGGGATGCATTGCCAGCAAAGTTTGTCCTAGGAACCCTCTCGGTTACTATTATTTATCTCTGTTTTGTAAAAATTATTATTTCGTATACTCATGAATATTAAATTATAATTCACACATTTTCCTATAATAAAAACTAAAATTAATTCACTTGTTTGACTTCTCAACTGTAAATTAAGAATATTACTCCGATCCACTGTTCCGCTCCATAAATCACATCATGAATCATCTTTACAATAAAAATAATAAAAAACTAAAATAAACATAGTAGTGTTGGGACATTATTCACAGTAGCATTTGATAACAGACAGTAGATCACAAATGAAGATGCTACGCGCGCCCGGGGGGCGCTGATTGGGGTCGTGGGAAGGAAACTGTAGTGCGCGCTTGGTTAGATTTTCAAGATAATCGCCCGTATCCGCTCACTGCGCTCTCCTCTGCTCGGTCTCTCATACTGTCCGTATTGAGTGTACACACAGGAAATCGGCCAAACTGGTTTTGGTTGCTAAATGTCGTCTTTTAATACTGGTCTAATTATGGACAAGTCGTCTTCGAATACGGTTGGCTTTTAGAAGTTCTGAGATTTTAATTTTTGACTCCGCTTTTAGATCTGGAGATTGCTACGTCAAAAATAAAGTTTGCATAGCCCTAGAAAAGAAATTCGCATATACACTATTTAAAACTATATACTTGGGCAGAGTTTATGTTGGTATTCAAATCATTTGATTTAGCGAAATTCTCTTCATATAAACTTGCAAATTATATCATAAACCATAATCATAGAGATTGGAGTTAACCTCAGTCATTAAATTGTTAGATCTTCATTTCAAAATTTATGGAGGGGGTTATATCTTTTAAAGAAGGACATAAAAAAATAATTAGTTTTCTTACTTCAATTCCATTTTAAAATTTTCCATCCATTTAATCCATCGTAAATTTTTGATGAACATATATGGAAACTGACCTAAAGGAAACCGCCTTTTCCGATCAAGATTCACTATCCAAGGGAATATACAAGGGGTAATCCAGAAAAGGCAAAATTTGGACTTTAAATTCGAAACATGTGTATAAGAAATTTTAAATTTATGTATACACTACAGTATAAACATTACAAGTCATACACGAGACCAACATAACATACCTTGCAAGTATATTTGCACGGCTCAGTTTCATTTGCCATACTATTTTTGCCATAATAACACTTGACATAATAGTTTTGTCATAATTAACACATGCATAATTTACACTTGCCATATTAAGTCACACTTGCCATAAGTTACACTTGCCATAATGGTTACACTTGCCATAATTACACTGGCTATAATTACTTTTGTCATAATTTTATAATTTTTAAAAAGATATAAATCTGTCTTTTTTATTGTAAGTGCGGGAAATTTTCCCATGAATATTCCCAACTTTAGTTTTCTCATTGTTTTAAAACAGAACAGTTGACACAAGTTCAGCTCCATATTTTCTCACAATGGAGGACCCTTTGGTGACCTTTGAGACCACAAGTAAGGATAAACCAATTTTTCGAGACAGCAACAACTACACCTATGTAGCCAATGCCTCGTCTACAGAAGTGAATTATTGGAAATGTTCGGTTAAAATGTGCTCAGCTAGAATTCGAACCCGAATTTATTCCTCAAACCTATGAGAGGATTGCTAACATTGTCCTACAGTATAATACTCTTCCCATAGAACAGTACCTAAACCTGATAGCTCATGTTTGTTAATTCAAACCAAATTTGATTTTAATTATGGCAAGAGTAATTATAGCATTTGTAATTATGGCAAGTGTAACCATTATGGCAAGTGTTACTTATGGCAAATGTATTATGGTAAATGTAATTATGGCAAAAATACTATGGCAAATGAAACTGAGCCATTTGCACTTGTTATGTAAATGATATTTATGTATATCATCCCATTTATCCCCTTTCTCATTAAAATTAGCTGAAACGATTTTTCAGTATTATTTTCCAATTCCGTTTTTTATTCATATTTTCGAAATAAAAAACTATAAATTATGGTTTAGCAATATCATTTATGACTTTCAAAATGTTTTGCAGTGAAGCCATGAAGTAAGAAATTAGATCTTAAAATACGAAAAATGTACTTTTACGCTTTAAACATATTCAATCTTTCTTTCTGTCTTAATGCATTAGCTCAGTTTGAAATATGTGAAGGGGGGTTGGTTTTAAGCCCCCGCCCCCAGCTCCGCTGTAGTTATCGACTCATCGTGTAGTTTTTTTTTTTATAAAATATCGTAATCTGTCTTCCGAGCTTTATACTTAGCAACAAACTTAGATGAGACCCTGAATCTGAATCTTAATCTGAATCTGAATCTGAATCTGAATCTGAATCTTAATCTGAATCTGAATCTTGATTTGAATCTGAATTTCACTTCAAAAATTATGACAATTTGCATGCGAAGAAGAAAAAAATAAATCAAAAATTCAAAAATTTCATTAAGATAACTCATAAAAATAGATAGATAGACAGAAATATAGATAGATAGATATGTAGATAGATAGATGGATAGATAGATAGATGGATAGATAGATAGATAGATAGATAGATAGATATATAGATAGATAGATTATAGATAGATAGATAGATAGATAGATAGATAGATAGATAGATAGATAGATATATAGATAGATAGATTAGATAGATTATAGATAGATAGATAGATAGATAGATAGATAGATAGATAGATAGATAGATAGATAGATAGATAGATAGATAGATAGATAAATACATATATAAAGAGATCAAAGACATAGGGTTAGAAAAGATATTGAAATAGATATACAACTATAAAGCATAAAGATAGATAAAAGAGAGTAAGTTTAAAATAGACAAAATATTATATTGATAGAAAGATAGATGGATAAAGCTGATGGAAAATATTGATGACAGATAGATAGATAGTGCTGAGGATTGTTCAACCAAAGGTTAGTATCTGCAAGTTTTCTTCCGAAAAACAACAAATATTAGGAGATTTTTAAAGAAAAAGGAAAAGTATCAAAACCTGAAAATACTCATGATTAGAAAAGAGGAACAGTAAAAACCTATAATTTATGAACTATCAAAAGTCGTTTCCAAAATGTATCGCAAACAATTTTGTCAAGGGCGTATGCAGGGGGGCAAGGGGGCAGTGCCCCCACAAAAACCAGTACAGGGGGCGTAGTCCCCCCCCTAGAACTCAGAGCTATCACACTTTTCAAATCTGAAACTGAAGAGAGAAGAGTATCGAAAAAATTAATTTGCTGTTTTTTCTCTTCTAGTTTTGTTTGAAGGAGCTAAATTAGTACTTGTAAAGTAATTTGACTAGAAGCTCTTCGGGGGTGGGGAAAATTTATTGCGCTTCACGCATATTCCCCCCCCCCCATATATTTATTTCTGTATACGCCCTTGATGTTGTTCGTTTTGACAGACAACCCGTTTCTAAATCTGAAAGAAAAGAAATATGTAATTGTACTTTTAAATCTAAACTCGTGTAAGTTCCAACTTTTTCAAGCTGTTAATTAACGGTTAGTTCTAACAGTTAAATAATTAAATCTTGGTAGCCGTTAGTTTTTTATTCGTAAGAACGAAACACGTTAACGGTATTTTACTTTTTTTAAGTTACTCTTGGTTAATGATCCCAATTTTATTAACAGGGTTAATGGAAGATATTTTAACAAAGGTTGACAGTTAAAACATTCATTAATCGTTTGTCTCATCGTTAACGGCAAATTGTTGTCTTTATGGCACAAGTGTTTAATAAATTGGGCGAATATTCTGTCATGGTTGGACAAACTCCAAACAAATGTCAATAAAATTCAAAATAGTTAAAACTGACAACACGGCATCATAGCATGGCATTTTGCTTATGAAAGCTGGTGGAATCCAAAATGGTGGATGAATTGTAAAAGCTGAAAAATCTACCATGCGTGCATGACAATTGAATTTTAATGCCTTCGAAATCTAATATGTTGGATGAATTGTAAATACGGACGGAATCTAACATTGCGGAAGAATTGTAAATGATGACGGAATCTAACACAAAGTCAGGAATGTACCGACGGAATATAACACGGCGGATGAGTTGAAACCGCGATACAAGTCATATCTTAACAGGGCGGATAAATTTTAAATATTTGCAAAATATAACACGGCGGAAGAATTATTAATCATGACGGAATCTAACACTGCGGCGGGAGAATTGTGAATCATGATGTCATCTTTGTCAGGGGGAATAAATGGTGAATACTGACGGAATCTAACACATATGGTGAATGAATTGAAAATGATGACGGAATCTAACATTGTGGATGAATTGTAAATGCAGACGGAATCTAATATTGTGGATGAATTGTAAATGCAGATGGAATCTAATATTGTAGATGAATTGTAAAAGTAGATGGAATCTAAAATTGTGGATGAATTATAAAAGCAGACCGAATCTAATATTTTGGATGAATTGTAAATGTAGATGGAATCTAATATTGTGGATGAATTATAAAAGCAGACGGAATCTAATATTGTAGATGAATTGTAAATGCAGATGGAATCTAAAATTGTGGATGAATAGTAAATGCAGATGGAATCTAATATTGTGGATGGATTGTAAACTTCAGATGGAATCTAATATTGTGGATGAATTGTAAATGCAGATGGAATCTAATATTGTGGATGAATTGTAAAAGCAGAAGGAATCTAATATTGTAGATGAATTGTAAATACTGCAGATGGAACATAAAATGGTAGATGAATTGTAAAAGTAGATGGAATCTAATATTGTGGATGAATTGTAAATGCAGATGGAATCTAATATTGTGGATGAATTGTAAAAGCAGATGGAATCTAATATTGTAGATGAATTGTAAAAGTCGATGGAATCTAAAATTGTAGATGAATTGTAAAAGTAGATGGAATCTAAAATTTTGGATGAATTGTAAAAGCAGATGGAATCTAATATTGTGGATGAATTGTAAATGCAGATGGAATCTAAAATGGTGAATGAGTTGTGAAAACTGACGGAATCTAACATGGCGGATGAATTGTAAATAATGACGGAATCTTACATGGCGGATAAATTTTAAATAATGAATTACGGAATTATAACACAGCGGATGAATGTAAATGATTACGGAATCTACAAAGGTAGGCGATAATATCAATATAATGAAGACGACTTTAAATATAAATTTTTACTTATATTAAACTTTTAAATAGCAAGGATACCCAAAGCATGGAAACAAAGAAAATCTGTCAATTAAAAAAAGAGCTTCTCATTAATTACTTGTTAACTTGTAATTCGAAAAAAGCTTGTTAACAATTAAAACTTCAATAAAAAAGTCGTCTTCGTTTTATTGGTATTATCGCCTACCACCGTATCATTATCTATCCATTATAAATGCTGATGCCTGATGGAGTTTAACATGGGGGATGAATTGTAAATGCTGTCAAATTTTATAATGGTAAGTAATTGCAAATACTGACGGAATCTAATATTGCAGGTGAATTCTGAATGATGACGGAATCTATAATGAAGGACGAATTAAAAGAATTACAATGTCGGTTTGATGATCTCCTCCCTCAGCTGGGTTTAAATGACAAGGTTGGTTTATGAGATCTAAATTGATTCAGGTGTTTTGATTTTTGATCAATTTTGTCATCCTTTTCTAAAAAAAAAAGTTTTCATAATATGTAATATGGCAGATTTCATAATTTCATTTCATTTTATTCTTAATCTGTATTTGCCTTCATAATGTTCTAGCCTTTTTGGCAACTTTCTCGTAATTCCAGATAAGTGAAAAGTGTCTTAATAAATATGAAAATTCTGTGTTTAGGATGTTGAAAGTTTTACCCACAAAAAATGAAAATTGAATGACGACCTTAAAGGCTAAATTCATAAATCTAAAGGATGAAGTGTTTTTTTTGGTCTGAAATATTTCTTTTCAATAATATAATAAATTTATTGTTGATTGGAACCATGTAAGAATAAAGTGTAAAATATCCGTACAGTCGTCTCTGAAGTCTCATCCTTTGTTGGTAATTGTAATTCTGTAGCAACGAGGTTATAGTGTATAGAGTGATGATGTACGCTAATCCTTTACTAATTGCAGTATAGGGCATGAACTATACCGAGAGCGCACTGCATATTTGTTTATTATAACTAAGTTGATTATGGCCTAACCTATATGTCAATATTAGTAAACAGTTGTAAGTGTACAATACAGCTAGCTGAGCACACAGGTAGAGAACTATCAACCCCCCCTGTTCTGAGCTTATAAAGTTGATCAAAATATGTTTAAAAAATGTAAGCACTACTTTTCCAAATGTCGTATGCAACCAGCTTTTTTCTTTAAAAAATCAAGGAAATTTGCAAAAATTTTAGATTAATTTCTAAATTAATTTCACAAAATTGAAACTTAAAAGAAATAGTTAATTCACTGTATAGAGATACAATTAACAATCAAGCCACATTTTGGAAATTCTAGGATTGGGAAAAGTAATTTCGATTTATTAGTATGTGTCTGAATCTGATATCATTGAATTCATCAATCATCAATGCATGTCTCTAAGGTTGAAGACAATTTTGTGGTCGTCATATTTATCTCATGTTTATCAGGACACACTTTGACTATCGACCAAGGACCATTTTCCCGTTTCAAAAGTTTAAACTTTGAAATTAAATTTCTTTTTAGCTACACTTCTATTAGGCTGTTTTATTTGTCAACTGGGTACACTAGACGGGCCGGTACAGTTTAAAGATTAGACCGGCATCTTTGTATACGGGTTCGGGGTACGAAATTTTTTAACTTTTGTGCCAGGCCATGTCCAATTCACAACGGTACCCTTGAATCAATTATGTGGATGTTTCTTAATTTTGCAATTGAAAAAATAAACCATTAAAAAAAATTATATATAATTTATACTTCATATACTTTTTAAAATGATTTTACTCTTTATATTATAATTTAGAATTAATTTGCTTACACTTTTTATGAAAGCTGCTTCCGTTCAGTTGAATGTTGTTATTTCAGGTTAAAGATTTCCAATAACATTATGGACAACAAAATGCAGTTGTAAAGGGTGTCCCAATAAACATGGGAATTCAGTGACGAATTCGATATCGTCTTTGTTATGAAATAGCATTGTAATGCCTAATTTCAAAAGCCATAATATTATTATGTCTGCTAGAGTTTATTTTATGAAAACGGTAAATGGCTGTAAAAATGTGTCTATAATGTATCCGCAAGATGAACAGTGAAGACGGACAAGTATACTATAATTTTCTTGTTTTACTAAGTACAACCGCGTATACAGTCAACACATAAACAAACAAATTGTAAGCATGGCAGACAATAATCTTACGGATTAAAGCTTTCTCAATAGGTATCACTAAACTAATACAAAGACGATATCGAATTCGTCACTGAATTCCCATGTTTATTGGGACACTCTGTATAAGCAAGTAAGCACGCAGTTGTCTAAGGATTGAAACAGAATAATTACTAAATATTATTATATTAAAGACTAGAGCTGAAGATCCCGGTGTTGTCCAGGTTTATAATTTTACTCATCTAGCTAGTTACTTCCGCCAATTACCCGCACTTGGTATTAAATCATGATTGTGCCCGATGCTGCCCGTGGAATTTTATATTTCAAAAAAATTTGAGTCTTTGTTACCCCCGGGAAGCCCAATGGTTCCCTAAAAAATTCACCCAATTTGGTCTAGCCATTTGGCCAGCTGTAAGCTCTCATATATGAGCGAAGAGCTTTATGATATAGATACTGTAGACGTATAATCCAAAAAAGCTTTTTCTTATAAAGAATGCATGATATATCCAGCATATTCTCTTTAAAGTTGGTTACTTTCCAAGTGAAACTTGCGCAATTTTTCTTCATAAACAAAATTAAGGAAATGTTTAAAATTATACACGTTTTAAGTTATAGAAAACCTAAATAAATATCTTGCTCATTATTGATTAAATAAAGGCTTACAAGGCACTGTTGTGAATCAGACATGACCGTTTTTCCAAAACATCGACAGTCCTTTTATAAGCACAAAACTTGGACTATGATCGCTGATAGCTGATGCCATTTTCTATTTAGTTTTATTTAAACGTTTAAAGTTGTCTTCCGATTGTTTTACTTCATCATTTGGTGACTATTTTCAATTTCTAACTATTGCTGAATCAAATTTCTGGAAAATTTGCACCATTTGCAATATTTTTAGCATTTGCGATCAATATCGAGAAATCTGTCTACAGAGCTCCTGGTTACAGTGCAGGGGTGTCCAGTAAAAAATAGAATGGATAAAACAGACAAAAGATTATTCACACTTTCCAAGTTTCTAGTCGTAACATTTGGGCTCTATAATTAAAGTGTCAGTTCGGGTGTTTTGAGTTAATGATTTAGATGTGTCTTTAGAGAAAAAATATGTATAATATGTTATAGAACATCGAGTTTTGGATTGGAAACCAGTGGTAGGATTAGTAATATGTTGGGACACCAATCGTAGGATTAGGAACATGTTGCGACGCCACTGGAAGGATTAGGAATATGTTGGGACACCAATGGTAGGATAAGGAATGTGTTGCGACACCAATGGTAGGATTAGGAATATGTTGGGGCACCAATGGTAGGATTAGGAATATGTTGGGATACCAATGGTAGGATAAGGAATATGTTGGGACACCAATGGTAGGATTAAGAATATGTTGGGACACAAATGGTAAGAATTATGAATATGATGGGACACCAATCGTAGGATTAGGAATATGTTGGGACACCAATGTCAGGACTTGAAATATCGATAGAATTGTGCAGACCATGGCTTGCCATAACCCATGAAAACAATCTCTAAGAAAATACCATGATATCTTCGGGAGCTTTTTCCAAGAATACGAATGTTATAGACATGGAAAAGAAATCGTAGTGGTAGTTAGAACCCCAATTTTGGAAAATTTTGAAATCTGCTTGACAATGTTCAACCGAATGGTGTATAAACTATAACCATTTAATTATACTCATTGCATATCCAAAATTGAATTTTTGTAATTGAACTCTGACCCAAAATGATTATTTTAAAAAGAACAAAATAAATTTTTTTCATCAGAGAATAGTTTTAAAATATTTTATAGTTTCTGACATGTGAAGTATTCCTTATACGAAATTGTTTTACGACATTTTTTCCACCTATAAACCGTGGGCTGAATTCGGTTTTTCAAAGAAGTTGTTTGATATCAGGCTAAAAAGACAGATTTTTTACATGCTCTATAAAAGATCGTTTCTATACTAAAAAGATTGTTTCTTTACTAAAAAGATCGTTTCTATACTAAAAAGATCGTTTCTATACTAAAAAGATCGTTTCTATACTAAAAAGATCGTTTCTATACTAAAAAGATCGTTTCTATACTAAAAAGATTGTTTCGTTACTAAAAAGATCGTTTCTATACTAAAAAGATAGTTTCTATACTAAAAAGATCGTTTCTATACTAAAAAGATCGTTTCTTTACTAAAAAGATCGTTTCTATACTAAAAAGATCGTTTCTATACTAAAAAGATCGTTTCTATACTAAAAAGATTGTTTCTATACTAAAAAAAGATCGTTTCTATACTAAAAAGATCGTTTCTATACTAAAAAGATCGTTTCTATACTAAAGAGATCGTTTCTTTACTAAAAAGATCGTTTCTTTACTAAAAAGATCGTTTCTATACTAAAGAGATCTATACTAAAAAGATCGTTTCTTTACTAAAAAGATCGTTTCTATACTAAAAAGATCGTTTTACTAAAAAGATCGTTTCTATACTAAAAAGATCGTTTCTATACTAAAAAATTGAAAAAATCAAAAAAAAAATAGAAACATAAGAAAAATACAATTTAGCATTTTTATCAAAGTACCTTTTAATGTTACTCTTAATTACTTAATTCAATATAGCTAATGCTTGGAATCGTTTCCGCCACAGTTTCATAACTTTATTGAGATGTATAAATTGATTTTACAAACAGCACCAGAATAATATTATTCTAAAATAATTTCAATAATATCAGTTTAAAGTTAGTTCTCGACGAGCAATACTCTAAACTACAGGACTTATTTAAAATCCCCACCTCCCCCCCTTCCCTCCTCCACCAATAATACTCGATTTTTTTCGGATTTTGAAAATTCACTTAAAGGTTGGCAATAAAAAAAGAAAAACTGTGAAATTTGTCATCTTATTAGAATTTACAATGGTTTAAGTGATCAGCAAAAAAAGCTGAGATTTGAATTAGAAAGGAGATCCTGGTTCGAAATATTTGTAATCATAAGCTTGATTGATTTAAATAACAAAAGGACGGGGAGGGGGGGGGGGGAGCTTGCTTTTTGGCAAGGAAAGACAAAATATGATTTGTATCTTTATCGGAATATTGAGTTTATTTAATAGTTTATAAGAATTGAACAACTTGTCAATTTGTCCAGGAAAATTCATGACTTTCCAATCCCATTTAAACAGAGAGGCAAAAACTTTTGGTTAAAAAGCACAGTACAAAACTCGGTTTCGAGTAGATTTTCTTCAGAAAAATTCATTTAAAAATAATATCATTTGACTATTATCAAACCACCAGGGGGATGAACAGAAAAATTGTATATAACTTGCATTTTTTAAACATCATTTTTTGTTTTCATTTTTATTAACCCATCTTTTTTCAGATCACGTTATACAGAGATTTTGTAAGAAATGCCGAAATTTTTTTAAAAGGTAGATTTTTTTCAGAACGTTTTGTTTTTTACTGGTTCTTCTTTCTTATATAGATTTGTAGTTCTTAGCTTTATTTGAAAAGTTGCGAAGTTATTAAGCAATGATTTGTATTTTATTACTAAAACAAAATTATTATACAATAAATATATTTAGCCGGTTGTTCCTCTTCCCTCGACAATGAAGCCTCTTTAGTCTTAATGAAACCAGGAAAGACAGAGGCAAGTGTTTCGCCGCGGCGGAAGATTAAGAAACGGCGGAAAATTCTGAAAAAACGTTCTGATAAGGATTCTAAAATAAGTAAGTAATAAAACTAAAAAAATATTCGTTTAGTAAGTTTTAATAAAAAATGAAAATATGAAAAATTCAACGAAGGGATCAACCTGAAAATGGGGGTTCCATGTGGAAAAGAAGAAGTGCTATGACTAGTTGAACTATCCTTGCTAGTTCAACTATTGATTCACAGTCATGATGTGTGAATCCTAACAAAAATAAATGATTGAAAGACAAGTATTGTTTTTGTTTCTTCTAATAATTGAATTCCAATTGAGAACTTTAGTCGATAAAGTCTTAGATCTGCAAAATTCTTTGTAAAGGAAATTCAATTCGATCTAAAATCCATTTTCCTTTTATGCCTGAAAGTGGGATATATATTTTAAATTTCTTATAATCGGAAATAAATTACTGAAGGGTCCCAAACTTTGTAGATTTTCTCTAAACATCATTAAATTATTTCTTCATTTTAGTTTAAATCAGAGCAAAATTTATAATTTTAAATAAAAGACGAGTTAAATTTTCTCATCATTAACGGAACTTCCTGAATAAAGGAGACTCTGTAGGGAAACCGGAAATACAAATAGAAGAATATCCGGAGGATCCACTTCCGGAAAACCAGGTTAATTTTGAATTTAAATTCATAGAAAACCTTTTATAGTTTGTGAATGTTGTAGAAACCGGAGATTATCCAAAAATATAAATATTTGGTTTTTATGTAAGAAAAACAATTTATAAAAGAAATGGATTGTAATCGTAATTTCAAGTTACCCTTCATGCAAAGATAGCAATGCTGGATTCACAACAATACCCTAAAAAAGCCATGTCTAATCGGGTATAAATTAGATGATAATTTTTATAATTATGAAAACAGATTGATTTCAATTGTGATTTCACTACAAAAGTGACTCGCGCATTCAAACTGTGAGAAAACACTAAGAAACGACAATATCTTCCACATTATTGATCAGATAAAGGTTATTATAGTACTGTAGTGAATCCGAATTGCCATATACGTGACCAATCCCATTAATGTTTATATATATCTTCTCCTAGGAAGATATAAGTAGAAAAACAGAAGAAGAAGATGGAACGATTACCCTTGAAGAGTTTGCAACCACTGTACTACAAAGAGAAGATGACTATATTAAACTTAAGTATGATCAAACAGAATCTGAAAATAACTTAACTAGTGAGGAAGGCGAGACTAAATGGTCAGATTTAATGAAAAGAAGAACTAGCTGAAGTGCTATAGTTAGTTGAACTATCCTTGCTAGTTCAATTTTTGCTCGCTATTAATTAAATACGGCCTCTGCAGTTTAGAAGATACACCGTGAATGAGTGTATTCAACAAAGAGAATAGAATATATATTAGAGTGGAATTTACTCGACAAAAGTGTAAAACGGCCATTTTATTGTACATGTTTCCATACTGCAGGTGTACTTCACATATTTGTGCTATATAACCTATTGGGCCCTGGAACATCATTTTATAGAAAAGTTTTCTTGAAAATTATTTGATTTTCTTTAAATCAATTTTCTGATAGCCTGTCATGCACACGTGAATAGAAATCAATCTAATATGTTTTATTTTTATTAAAAACATATTCCTATAATTGTAGCCTGCAGGTAATCAAAGAGGGAAACCCAATATTTTAGAAATATTCAAGATATCAAAATATGGTCCAACTTTTTTTATACCAAAATTGAGGATGGTCATAAACTTAATATTTTAAAATCAATATTAAAAGAAACCCAAATTATCAAATAGGCTGGTTTCATTTCACATATAGACTCTATGCCTTTCACTTTAAAAACAATGATTTTCCGTTATAACTATGAATCAAATGATATTTTTTATTCACCTAAATCATTTTATAAAGTTTATTTAACAGCTTTAAAAATTTCGAAATTGAAATGGATATTCTACCTAGGGATCATACTGTATTAATGTACTCTGCAGCATATAATTTGTGAACATTTACATAAATTGTACACTTGGATCTCCCTTTCAGGCTGAAAGGGAGTTCCAAAATTCTTTTCTCTTTGTTATTCAACTATAAATACAAGATGTCCCACTAAATATATAGTCGTCTTTGATAGCTACAGGGTGTCCCAGGAAACATGACAGTTGGTAAATAGTTTAAAATGTCTTCTTCTATAATTTGTTAAGTTGTTTGACACCAAAGACATTAAGAAAAATTTTATATGGGAGTCATATTATAATGAAGTTTATTTCAAAGTAAAATATATTTGAGCAAAAGATTTTTTTAACGAAATAAACTGCATAAAGCCTTTAATATTAAATACAGCATATGGAAGACGACATTCAAAACTATTTACTAACTGTCATGATTTTCAGGCTGGAAAAGCTATTTAAAGTCGTTAACCTGTTTGATGCACATTTTGTCATAAGATACAGGATGAAACTTCAGAGACGACTGAACGCAGGTCACATTGTCTGTTAATAATTAAATAAGTCATTAATTATAAACTATATTTAACGCAGAAGAATAAATTTACACTTTCAGGTCGTCTTTACAGTCTCATCCTTAATGGGTAACCCTTTAGATATCAATGGTCGAAAACGGTATTGAATGCATTTCTTAACTGTCAGGTTTAGTGGGTCGGATGAACGTAAGAATATTAAGATTTTCTAGCTGTTTTTTCTTTAACACTTTTTAATGTTTTTAATTTTATTTTAGTGTTGGAAAACATTTAGAAAGTTTATCAGAAACTAAACAGAGCCAGGCAATAAACCTTGCAATATTCTGGAAAGGTTTGTTTTATTAAAATTTTATTAAAGTTTCTCATTTTTAACTTTTATTCTTTCAGTTTATAATAATTGGGATTTTTCATATTTTTTAAACAATTTACTAATTCTCTTTTTCTCTGATTTAAAAACATAACTAATTCCATCTCTTTGCACAAAGATGGTGTTTATAGCAGAAAATACGGCTTTTGGTAATTTCAAGGATTTTATGAAAACGTTTCTTCTCACTGAAATATGTATTCAATTAAAATACAATCTCTCAATTGGCATCGATACCTAAATACCTAATTACCAAAATACCTAAATACACAAAGTACAAACACACCCAAATTTTGTACGCTCAGCAGTTAGGAACCCTAGCTACAAATCCTTAAATTTCCGTACTGCATTTTTGTCTTTGGAAGGTGGGGGAGAAGGAGAGGAAAGAATGGAAGGTAAAATGCAAAGGTTAAAACAGCAATGCAGTATAAATTTAAGGATTTGTAGCTAGGGTTCCCAACTGCTAAGCGTACAAAATTTGGGTGTGTTTGTGTATTTAGGTATTTCGGTAATTAGGTATTTTGGTATCGATGCCTCAGTTCAAAACTTTTTCTGATTTTCGATCTAACTACTTTTGATGATGAATTATTTTACTAATTTAAAAATATGTTTATTAGCTGTATTCTGTAAAGTTAAAATATCATCTCTTTATGACAAATTAACCAAAACTTTAAGTTTTTTCTTTCGTTTTTAGACAAACTTATGGATAGAAGAAATAGGGTGAGTACAATTTTCATTTAATTTATAAAAAGTTCTGTAAATTTTATTAAAACTCATTTTCATAATAAGAAGTTATAGTTACTATATTTCAGTTAATGGATACTTATTTTTTATGATTTAGAATTTATGTTTTTTAATTGAAAAGATTATAATGTTAAATTTCAACGATTAAGTTTCTTTATTTTTTTTCTTTCAGAGGAAGTCTATTCCGAATCCTACAAGTAGTTCAGGTTCAATATATTTCATTAAAATAAACAACAATTAAAAAATCCTTTTTTTCGTTTTCGCAAAAAAAACAGTAGTTCTGCATTTTTCGTACAATTAAACTTTCAGATCCTTTTCAGGGGTATTTCTTTTACTTAGGTGAAATAATATACAGTGCACAACAAAAAACTGTGAAATGAATGCCATCTTTGTTCTTTCTTTTACTCATGAAATAATTACAAGTTATATAAACCTAAGAAACATATTTCCTAATTATAAAAAAGACTGAGAATTCCTATCAGCATGCATAGAATGCCAATAAAAGTCATTTAAACAAATTGGAAACTTTTAATCATTTAAGATTTTAAAAACGTTCTTTTTAGAATTTCCCACAACGTTTTTCTGGGACACTACGGAGATAGTTGGGAAGCCTAGTAAACTGACAAACACCAGCAAATCAAAAGTCTCATCTTTTTCGGGACTTCCGTAAATATAAAATTTAATAAGTCTACAGGGTGGCCCAAAAACAGGGATTATTGATTTTCAGCCATTTTATTTGTTTTTTATTGGAAAATGTGCCCCGGTATATAGTTTTTAATTTGTTGCCGTCCGATCCTTCCGTTTAGTGTAAAACCATGTCCAATAATCAAAATCTCTCCGTTAAGTTCAGCTAACAAATATAGCTTAAGTAATATAAAAATTCATTTATATAAATTTGAATTCACTTAGATTTTTCTTAGAAATTATACTTTTGATTAAGTACGTAGAATTCCTTGGATTTCATAAACCCAGAGTTAAAATCTAAGTAGGTTCAGATTTATATAAAGGATTTTTTTTTATTTCTGAAACATTATTTGTAAGCTATTGCTGCAAAAAACCTTGACTAAAAATCTGTTCAGTTGTCTGTGTTGTCTCATATTTTCAGGGTAACCCAATAAAAAAATGAAATCTTAGTTAAAATTTGGTATTCTAAAATGCGTATAAATTCCCAGAAGAACTGTGAAGAAAAAGCTAAGATTATCAAAATTTAATAACGATTGAAACAATGAAAACTTTTATGAACTTGAAAGCGTACAGCGATGGAGAACAAAATGCACTTTAACATCAACAAATATCTCTTATCTCATTTTCATAAACTAATTTAACAAATATCTATTGGATCTTGCTCTGTGCTCGGTACCCAGCAAGGAGAACAAAATTGAGGGATCAAGGAAATGTCCTTCGTATGTGGATAAGAAAGGGGACTTTTAAATTCAAAATCAGCGCATATACATATATGTTTTACATAAATGTATTTTTATAAACAAAATTATAATTTTTAGACACAAAAAGGAGCGAACCTCACAAATTTCTACGGTAAAGGAATAGAATAAGAAAGACATTTAATCATTTTAAATCAGTTTAATAGACATTATACGTATACATTGCATTTAGGATCGTGCCATGCATATTCTTGGAGTTGGTAACCTACAGAAGCTTGACGCCAAAACAGTGGTAAGTGTGATTAAAACTGTTCATTTTAACTTTGTTCACTTGAAAGCACAAAAGTAATCAAGAAATAGCATAATATACTTTTGCTGGTATGTTGTAATATTCCTAAGCAAATGAGAAATTGATGCACAAAAAGCTCAAAGGTTAGGGCTTGAAATTCTTTACAGAGAAAGAATATTATTCAAGGATCTGTTAAGAACTAAATTGTTTGAAAAAAAAACGTAAAAAAAAACGGAAATTGGAACAAATGGGCTCAAAACTAATAAATAAAGAATTTTGTAATCTTTAAATGTTTTCTCAATACAGTTATGTAACCGGAAATACAGTTTGTAACCGGAAATACAGTTTTGTAACCGGAAATACAGTTATTTAACCGGAAATACAGTTTTGTAACCGGAAATACAGTTTTGTAAACGGAAATACAGTTTTGTAACCGGAAATACAGTTATGTAACCGGAAATACAGTTTTGTAACCGGAAATACAGTTTTGTAACCGGAAATACAGTTTTGTAACCGGAAATACAGTTTTGTAACCGGAAATACAGTTATGTAACCGGAAATACAGTTTTGTAACCGGATATACAGTTTTGTAACCGGAAATACAGTTATTTAACCGGAAATACAGTTTTGTAACCGGAAATAGAATCAGATTTAGAGTAGTAACCTTTCATCCTTCGGATATTAATTATCAAAGTTATTTTGTTTATCCTCTACAAATGTACACAACTACTGTTAAAACGTTTGTGCAAAAAAATGCAAAATCAAGTTTATATTTTTCGCATTCAACATTTGCTCTAGAGCTTGTGAAACCTAAAGTGTTGTTTGAACATACAACGCAAAAAATAAAACTCAAGTTTGCACTTGCTTGAATAGTATTTATATTCTAATTAAAGGAATTGAGTCTTTGTCACAAACTCTGATTTTTAATCCCTATATCTTAACAACCAAATGTTGTTGACCTTAGATATTTCAAACTATGCCTTCTGTTATATTAAACAATCAAAGTAATCTAAGGTTTACATAGGTATTAGGTAGGTATAGGTATTAAAAAATTGGGATTTGTTGCAAAGACTTAATTCCTTTGGTTGCATTATGTAATAATTATTAAGGCCCCTGTCTTATTTGGTGACAGTCGACATTTTACTGAATATACCAAGCCAAGGAACTGCCATATCTGATTAAAAAATCTGTGTACTACAAGCTTGCAACAGGATAGATAAACAAGGAACTGCCATATCTGATTAATAAAATCTTGCAACAGGATAGATAAACAAGGAACTGCCATATCTGATTAAAAAATCTGTGTACTACAAGCTTGCAACAGGATAGATAAACAAGGAACTGCCATATCTGATTAAAAAATCTTTGTACTACAAGCTTGCAACAGGATAGATATACAAGGAACTGTCATATCTGATTAATAAAATCTGTGTACTGCAAGCTTGCAAGTTGCAACAGGAAAATAAAGAATCTATGGGTGATGCAAAAAAACATCATTCATGTGGGGGAAAAACAGATTTGGTTTAAAATAATGGCAAATATCATTAACTTTTCTGCTTAAAGTCGCATGAATCTGTAAAAATGTTATATTTCAATTTTTCAATTAAATATTCTAATGTTTTTTTTGATGTTGTCTTCTAGTTTTGCCTGATATTTTTGCATTAATATTCTTAATGGATGGTTTCGGTAATCATATCTAACATATTCTTCCTATAATATATTTTAAAACATTGAGAACTTTAAAAAGAGAAAAATACTGTTAATGAACTGAAAATAACTTGTACTTAATGGAATGTTCAGTTCTTATCTAAGAACAAAAGGATATATTAAAAATTTGGC